CCCCAAAACCCCAAAACCCCAAAACCCCAAAACCCCAACAATAAAGATCTATTTAAATTTTAATTGATAAGATAATTAAGTATATTAATAGATATTAATAGTGTTCTGAAAGTACAAATTATTGATTCATACTCTCTATATTCCCTGAATTATTCTCATAAACGATGCTTGGTAGTGTTAATGATCATCTAAATTCAAAGATTGAGTCTTGATTGCAATTTTATTTGCCTCTTTTGGAAAATTTATTTAAGAAGACTAGTTTATAGAATTTTTCTTCGATCCTAGATGCTTCCTTTTTTGATTGTTTTCGTATACTTTTTTCTCTTCATATGATTTCTATAGAAGTTATGCCTATTCTTTAGATGATACAATGTGCTGCTTTAAGACTTCAGCTCTCGATACATTTTAAAACTTTGCCTCTTAACCTTTTATCTGCAGTAAGCTTAGGGCTGTGTTTTTTATTTTTCCTAATTTGCCATTTTTCCTAACTCCACTCGAAGTTTTACTTCTTTTGGTTATGGGAAATACCTATTTTACATCGGTAGGATACTAATTCTCATTCGACATATTTAGGTAGATCTAATTTTACTGATCCTACTTTAATTACTTCCATTAATGATAGGTATCTAACTCATCTTAGTCAAGTCTTCTTCTTCTATTAGTGAATACTGCATCTGACTCATTAGCGATTAAGCTGGCTATTTACTGCATTCTACTTTCATCAAACTATATCTTTTATCTAATATTATCTACAGTTTTTTTCTTGTCTATTACTACTAAATTATCTAGATCCTTATTCATGAGCATCAAGGCTATTAAATCCTTATCCATTTCATTTTAGCTCTATTAAATTCTATGCTCCTCAATCGTCCTTTATTGTTTCCCACTCTTATTTAGGAAATCATTTTAAGTCCTCGTGAATTCGCTTTATTCAGTGCCATCAGCTCCAACTTCAAGAGTTGATTGATTATTATCATCTCTTAAACTTAAAACTGAGTCTTTCAGGCTTAAATGATCTGCTGTTTGACCTAAACCACTCTGATTAATTTAGTGAAACATTGAAATATCTTGATTGAGAATAAGCTACTCATTTATTTCTGTTATGTTAGTTTGATTATTCAATTTAGTAGACTACCTATCATAGTTGAAAGCATCTTGGTATGGCATTTCGGATATAGCAGAGTTGTCTAGATACTGAGTCTCAGCGCTCATCTAAACATTGAAAATACTCTTGTTTCCAGTTTTTCTATAAAAGCTACTGCCACTCATATGATTTTACATATTCTGATTTCTCTATGATTCTTGCTTCAGTAATTCTACTTCTTGCTGATGCTACTTCTAAAATCTTAGTCTTTGATAATCTTTGAAAAGCCTATCAGATGACACATTTCCAAATAAAAACTAAGCGTGAGTCTTCGAACCAGTCTTTTCAAGATACTTAGGGAAAAGTTCAACAATCCTTTTACCTTTTTCCTTTAGCTAATTTCGCTAGTCTTGTAGCTGCTGCTGATATCTTATCATTTTCCTAGATTTTTCTTATGTCAATACTTGCATAGTCTTCGGCCTTTTAATTTATATTTCAACTGAATGATCTTTACCAAACTTCTCGCCAATTTATTGTAATCCTTTTAGTAATTCTGTTTATGTTACATATTCATTTGTCGTTAGAGCATATATGCTCTCATTTGGGTTTTAGTATTGTTCACTGAATCCAGTGTACTCAGGATTAGACTGTGTTACTTAAATTCTTGATTGATTTACATCATCATGAAGTTTCTTAACAAAATTCTTTTTTTGTTATCCTCCTATTCTATTTGAACTTTATCAACTAAATTAAATCAGAGATCTTGATACCTATTGCCTGCTTGAATAAATATCAGGCTAATTCAGATGTATTTAGCAATGCTCTGTTCCTATAAACCAAGGATCATAATTGCTTTGTTCAATAAGATAAGCAATTTTTATAGATTTAACCATCATTCCAGGATTCCTTTCCTAGACTCTAAATATTAACTGCTTCGATATATCTAACATCTAAAATGCAAAGAATTCATATTCTTCATCAGGAATTTTCTCTTCATAGAATTCAGAGTTTCTCTGAGTAGTTTATCCCAAATCCTTAATAAAATGCGAAACTCTAACTATCATGTGATGAGTCATTTACCCATTTTGTTTGAATTAAAGCGTGTGGTAATAGAAATAGGGAAGAAAATCTCTTGTTGGTATCTTGTAGAGCTGTAAAGCATCGATTCCTTTAGGAAATTTATTCTTTAGGTCACTCAATGCTCCAATGTCCAGAAAATGCCTTTAATTTCCGATGATTGCAAAGCATATTTTAGAACGGTTTTGAGAATTAGATAGAAATTCAATAAGATCTTCATTATTAAACTCATTTTTCTTGTTTTCATTGAGATTAACTAGAAATGCTCAAATGACATCGTTGATAGTTATTGAATTAATGTCTTTAAACTGTATTCTTCCAAGTAAATCAGTAAAAATCCATTTTTTCGGTTGAAAGCCCTATTCGAACAGTATAGTGTCCATCATTTTAATTTGGCCTGCTTAAACTGAGACGCTGACTGGGCGCCCATTCTTGTTTTCCAAGACCTCATCAGGTATTTCCTGATTATTCTGATAGAGCGACTCAAATATAAAGTTCATTTGAAGTTAGCTGCTCCTGTCATTTTATTTTGAATTATCCATGTTTATCAAACTTCTTAGTTCTGAACCTCTTCCCTGTGTTCCCAAACTGCCTGATCTATCCCTCTCTTATCTCGATTAGTTTATTTGAAGGGAATTATTAAGGTGGCTTTTGTATGAACTATGAGTCACATTGGTGGCAGATTAACCGAATCAAAGGTCTTTCATGCCCATTCCGGTGGTGAAGGGTCTATAGTTCGTTTATTTAACTTGCTAAAACTGCATTAAATGAGCTGATCAATTGTTAATAATTATAATCATAATTTTTTTATTGCAAATAATTAATACTAACTAGACATCTCTTTATCAACAAGTTCGCATAATAATATACTTAAATATATTAAACATGGAAAAAAGTTAGAGAACAGAATTAATCATCCAGGGGTTATTGAACAAGCCAAGTAAGAAGCCAGATTTCAAGAATTTCAGGGAGAGTGATATTCTTAAAAGAGCTCAGCAGTTTATCCCTATGTTCATCTAGACGACTGATAGATTATTGAGTGATCCTGAGTTATTGAAGTAAAAGCAGATGGACATTTAGCTTGAGGAGAATGGTGATCTCTAAATGGAGATGAGAAGGCTAAATGGAGAATACGACTAAGATGCTTAGCAAGATCCCAATACTATCAATATGGTATGATTAATGAGATTGTAATTTGAGTATAGGATATTGGAGTAGGAGTTTATGATGTGAATAATGAGAATTTCGATGAAAAAAACTTCAAGCCATCATCAACAAGGCCAATAGTGAGATTCAATGGTCTGATTGAAAATGAAGAAGATGGAGATGATAGTAGTAGTGATGATGGTTCAGATGATTCTAATCTCTACTATGAGTTTAACTCAGATTCAGAGAATACTGATGCTGCTTCTTTAACTACCATAGCAACCAATAAATAGCAAAGTCAACCAATGCAAAGACCTCCACTTATTCAGGACATCACTCCTGCTAATATGTAATAGGAATGTATTTAATAAAAGGGCAAAAAAAATAGCAAAAAAAGACTAAGAAGATGAAATATGAATACTCTCACGAGAAGTGCCTAAATGTATATCAATTAACAACTAATTAAAACTTAATTTAAATAATTATTAGTTAAGTAAGGCAAACAATTCAATCTTATTCTAATTTCCTCTCTCTACTCCATTACTAAAGTATTTATTCATGAAAATATTTGCTCTTTTGAACCTTTCACTATATCCGAGTTATATATCTTAGAATTATCAACATCTAGATAGTCTGAAATAGATTCCTTTTGATCATAGCAACTAATCAAAAGCAAACTTAGTATTAATGCTACCATAATCAGCATAAATACGTAAACAAAGTCTATAGAAGTGTTTAAAATAAATTAATTTATTCTTACCTAGTTAGTAGTTTGTATTTTACCAGAAATTGAAGGACCCACAAACGCATAAAAGAAATGCACCTAGTATTTTAGCAATATTTGCATTAAACTAGGAAAGATTTCTAACATGGTCACCCTCTTCTCCAATTCTTAATGCTAAGTTGTCGATCATCGAGTTTATTTAGCTTAGAATTCTGGAAACTTAGGCCATAAATATTCCAAAGATTAATCCTGTAAACACCATCAATAGATAAATATTTGAAGAACTCAAGAATCTCAATAAATATAGAAGTATCATTGCAACGAAAGCAGTTAAAAATTGGTTTAGTATGTGTTTATTTAGTCTATTGATATTCTATTCTTAATTCTCAAAATAGTTCAAATCTATGCTAAACATCTGCATTACAAATAAAATAAGTGCTGCAAAGCTATAAATATTTGAGTAGAATAGCTCATTCTAGACATCTAAAACTGTAAAGCAATACAATGTGAAGACGTCTATCATGCCAAAATAAACGAAATAGACTAAGCCTTGATAAAGTAAAGCAAAGACAAGATTTTTGTCCTGGGCAATTAAGAGTTTTAAAGTAGAGCTGCTAAATGTGGATCTTGTTCTCTAGTGCCTTGTAATCTACCCAGTAAAGTCATTTTGTGCTAATAAAAATGTCGATTGGAAAAACATAGTTGATTGCAATTTTTTGTAAAAAATTTTAGATTCATTGAAAGTGGGATAGAATGTAAAGAAAACTCCAATTGATATGACTGAAAGAGCAAGATTAATCAGTGAAGAGAATAAGTAAGGGTACTTTTCCCCATCCTCACTTTGCATGATCATGCCATCCTCATTGATATCTTGAGATTGAAATACAATGAAACTGGTGAGAGAACTCCCTATTGCTATACCGATATACCATAGTCCTGATAAATCAATAACTTTCTGCATATCTCTTCTAGGATTAAAATAGTTATCAATTGATAGCTTAGTAAGTCCAATCGCACAAGAAAAAAATCCTTACTAAAATTGAAGTTAAGATTTATACTGCTTTCAAATGAAGAAGAAATTACTTACAATTGCTCGAAAGAGTAGATTTAGCATTATTGATAACTTAAGTGAAATCAACAGAATGGTTATAGCTTAAACGAAAATCATCAAAACAATCAAGTACTTGAAGTTATTCTGATTCACACGGTTAGACCTAGATAGAAATAACATTAATGAGTTTAAACATAAGCTATCTTACCAAAAGTACATGCCAAAAACCTAGGCAGTATAAAAGATAAACATGAAAAACCCGTAATTGAGTACCAAATGCCCTTTAAGTTAATATAGCTGAGTATCTAAATTCTATGTTTCTGGAGTAGTAAACTAGAGTTGGTTGTTCATGTCCATTAAGCAAGGACTTATCGGGTATAGGATAGACTGCTGGATACCCTCGAATAAGAATAAAAAGGATAAGGAAGTATAATAATTTTTCAATTTTTCTTCTTTCATTAAAATAATAATTTTCACTCAATTATTTCCAAATTCATTCATTCGGGGTTTTGGGGTTTTGGGGTTTTGGGGTTTTGGGG